GACTCAACTCCCGGGGCAAACACACCTATAGTTGAAGAAAAGGGTGACCAACAAGTCAAGGATCCTATTAAAAAGCCGATGGATGTAAACGTGGTAAACATTGTCATCCATTGAGTGGACGTCTGTAATATGTCCACCATTTCGGTCAATACAGTGCCAATTGCTGTGAAACACATGGCCTTAAATAAATTTAATTTAAATATAATCAATTATGGTTAATTTAAATTTAATATGATAATAATATAAATACTTACAAATGACATATGATTGAAACATAGTATGGCTGTGTAGGCGTATTTATCCCAACTTTTTAGCATGACTTTTAAATTAATTAATAATTACTTTTATAACAATAAATTTGATTGAAATAAATTAATTACAACAAAGTAATTTAACTTGAGCAAATTACATTACTATTAACTGTATCTAATAAGATTATTTATCAATGAAGCACACTTATATAATTAATAAATAATTTATTTTTAATAAACATCTAATTCACTTAAATCCAAATGCTACCTACAAATCGCTATCATTATTTTTTGCAATCACCAGGGTATTTTTAGTATATATACATGATTTGCAAAATTGAATAAATTATCTTAATAATACTGTAGTAGAAATAAACTAAATTATTTAAATAATTATAGAATTATTATATTATTTATTTCTAAAATAAATTAATAAATATTTTGTGAATTGCAACTTGGTACTAAAATTACTAACCAACCCAACCATTGTCCATGAGCTCAATTGATAATGTCAAGTATATATACCCGTAATTTAATACACTTATACAATACACATACCTCAGAAAGTTATTTATTTAATCGTTAAATAACTATGATTAGTTTTATATCAAATACTATTTTGCACAGAACACTTGATTGATTAAACACTAATGTGATTTAAATCCTTGTATTATATAATAATTTTTGCTTAGTTAGTAATTATGTATTCCTTAGTCTTATATTATTGCAATTGAAAGGGTTATAACATTTCGATCATGTTATTATAATTTATGAATCCCGGTAAATTATTTGCTGGTTATTATAAATATTTATTTTGAGATATAATTATTAGATCAAGCTAGATAAATATTTTTGCGAAATTATAAATGAACAATATTGACCATGTTTTAGTTATTATATAATTTATTTATACATTATATAAATTAAACATTTATTTATTAAACATTTTATATAACATTTAAGAATTCAATGCTCTTATCGTTATATGCATTGAATAAACACTCAAAATAAAAAAGATTATGATAAAAAATATAGAAAAGTTATGAAGTTCAAAGTTATGCTTATAAAATATATAGCAAGTTGGTATGTGTCTAGCTACTTCTACTTTAAGACCCACGCGCTGCGAGATCTGGCACGCTCGTGGTTATTTATAAATATATATTTTAATTTGTTAATTAATTAATTAATTTGTACAAAGTTTTGATTTATTCATAATGTAAAGTTTTAAGTAAAAACTTTTTTGAATTTGCAAATATGATGGTATATTACTTTGTATTTATTTACCAAGTGTTAATAAAATAAAATAATAATAATGCAAAATATAAGCTATATTTAGTTTTAGTTTTGATTATTTATTGAATTGTATAAAAATAATGAACAAATCGTTCAAATTAATATTTGTCATTTAAATTTAATAAATTAATCCAGTCATACAATTAAATCCTTGTAAAATTCAGTACATCACACCATTATTTATAATCATGCTTTTTATAAAAGTTTATAAATGTTTATAAATGAAAATGTTTGTGATGGGCGATCACGTGATACATGATTATTTTGCGATTAATGTATGAAAAATAATTGTTTTCGTATAAAAATAGCGCATTTATAAAATACTTAATGATAATAAATATATTTTAAAAATTAAACAAGATCTTTTAAAGTTTACATTTATAAATGTTGATGGGTAATTATTTTACCATTATAAAAACAAAAAAAAACTAATAGTTAATAGGCTATTATTAATAATAGCTACCTATGCACAACCTAACTAAACAACATGCTCAAACCTACAAAAAATAAATAAAATTAAAAACACTAAATATAAATAATCATAATGAAAACTTAAAAACAGTATACTATTTCACTGACGGACACTTAGCCCTACGTTCAGCTCTCATAACAATATACAAAATCGCGACAAACATTAAACTACTCAACAATAGGTTGGCAAACATAATGAGGGCAAAAATTTGGGCAAACTTTTCAATGAGTATACCCATGAGAAACGGCACAAACATGTTGAGAGACTCGGCCGAAAAAAGCAACACGGTGCCCACACGGTTCTTAACATCTAGGTACTGGGCCAGAAAGCAATAGGTGCTACATATGATCGGCGACAGGCCGTAGCTCATGATCATAGAGCCGGCCCACAGGCACTCCAGCGACCGCTGGCCGGCGTATAGTATCGCCAGACCGGCAAACGAGATGAGCAAATGGCCACAAATGATATGCTGGGGCCGGAACCGCATGGCCACAAATATGCTGATACCCCTGCCCATGGTAAACGTCAGGGCCATGGATGACATCAGGGTGGCCGACGTCTGGGCGCTCAGCTTGAGTGGTATGTACTGGAAATACGTGGCCGAGAATTGCATGTATATTACTTCGGACGACATTTGAAAGGCCAGGAAAGCGGACACCAGTCCTATCAATAGCCAGCGGTCGTGATTTTGCCGGAAGTTGTCCAGCAGTGTGTGGTGTTTAGTGGCCGGGGTGTCAATGATGGGGGCGGTGGTGGGGTTGTATGGTTTGTTGTCCAGTGTTGTGGGTGTGCAAGGTGTTGTTGTGATGAGGGTGCTGGTGACAGTGCTGGTAGGGTGACCAAGTTCAACGTCACTAGTGGACCGAACAGTGTCCGTATGCTTTTTGTCAAATAGTTTACGGCTCACGAGTTCGTCCGACACCTGCGATTGGCTCTCACTGATCATGTGGTTTCGGTTTTCGTATTTTTTACATAGATACATCAATGCCATTAGTGTGCATCCTATTTGTTAAATGATATAAATTGGTCAATTGAAATGAATAATTGCATTAATTTAATTTTGTGTTTTTAATTGCATGCTTTACTTTTTAGTATAATTTAATAATTATTAATTATTAGCTGTATGTTCATGTTTAACTAATTTTTAAATTCAGATTGTTTATTTGAAATTATGTTTTTTGCAATATAATAAATATTTTAATTGATTTAATTAATTTCGAATTATTTTTAATTTAACTTTAAACAGTTATTTTTAATGTTTAATATTGTATTTAATAGTTAAAGTCTAATTATCACTTAGAAAACTATAAGCTAAATCTAATCAAGTAAATCAAATATTTACACTAAACAATATTTGCTATACATTAGGAAACGATCGATAAGTAACTAATAATTAGGCAACTTTAAACAGTTTTCCCCATAAAATAAACAAGTTAAAACACACACAAAAATCATATGATAAATCGCATCGTGCTATAAATCACGTACCAATTAATTGCAAACCACCAATAATTGCAAATGGCAGCCAGAGCATGGACTTTTCTGGCACGGGTACAGCATCATGGTCAACAGCACCAGTACCAGTAGATGCTAAATTAACCAAACTTGAATTACTAGCCAAACGATCACCAAGCACAAATTGTTTGTCAACCAGGGGCCCGATAATAGTGCCAATGCCAAACAAAAAGCTACATAGATGTAGTACAGGTGCGTTACTGGTCTGCCAGATCTCTATGAGCCACACGGTCTTGGCGTTACTCCAGGCGCCGGCACACGTGCCCACTGCCAGTGCGCACGCGTACAGCACTGTCACGTGCGGCGAGTTGGGCACCATTGACGTGGCCG